GAGAGAGAGAGAGAGAGAGAGAGAGAGAGAGAGAGAGAGAGAGAGAGAGAGAGAGAGAGAGAGAGAGAGAGAGAGAGAGAGAGAGAGAGAGAGAGAGAGAGAGAGAGAGAGAGAGAGAGAGAGAGAGAGAGAGAGAGAGAGAGAGAGAGAGAGAGAGAGAGAGAGAGAGAGAGAGAGAGAGAGAGAGAGAGAGAGAGAGAGAGAGAGAGAGAGAGAGAGAGAGAGAGAGAGAGAGAGAGAGAGAGAGAGAGAGAGAGAGAGAGAGAGAGAGAGAGAGAGAGAGAGAGAGAGAGAGAGAGAGAGAGAGAGAGAGAGAGAGAGAGAGAGAGAGAGAGAGAGAGAGAGAGAGAGAGAGAGAGAGAGAGAGAGAGAGAGAGAGAGAGAGAGAGAGAGAGAGAGAGAGAGAGAGAGAGAGAGAGAGAGAGAGAGAGAGAGAGAGAGAGAGAGAGAGAGAGAGAGAGAGAGAGAGAGAGAGAGAGAGAGAGACTGAGACGTCGCGAGCGCGAGGGGGAGAGGCCCGGCGCCGCGGCACGTCGCGACGCTCAGTCTACCGGCGTCGCCCGTGCAACATGAACGCTTCGTGCTGCTACTTTGCCGGTTAAAGTCGCGTGGAACCTCGATCTCTCACGGTCTCGCTGTCGACACGCGGCCTTATAAAATACAGCTGAATATTTTGTGCGTTATTTTGTGAATATTTTGTGAAATGCGGTTGTGCCGAGAACACAAGTTGGTTCGTTCCGATACGACGAAGAATCGTGTATTTTCAGTTTACGGTTCGTTGTGGCGTTTTGACACAATCTCGAAATGATCTGCCCCCTCACTGGTAATTTGAAGCGTGAATTTTTGGTGAACAGTTATATATAATATAGAGAGAGATTTAATAAACGTTGAATTTCACTTTTCTCTACATCGAGCGAAATAATTATAATCACCTAAAAATCCGGAGTCTTGGAAATATTTTTAGAAAGCGCAACATTTTCCTGTTCTTTGGCACGTTGCTCGGAATAATTGCGGACGATTTTTAAAGACGAATCAACTTGGCTTTCCTGGCTCGTGCTACGCATCGTCGTCTATGAAAGTACAACAATTTTATTGAAATAAGAACAAGATATACTCGAAAGATTCGCGCGAATCTTCTTAGAAAGATTTAATCGATCAATTTCTATCGATAAAATGGGATTATCGAAAATGTTTCAGCGCGGAATCCTGCGATCAAAATGAATATATGATCTCTGTTGTGGTTGCAGTTTTCTAGTGTTAAGCTCGATATATGTAAATTGCCAGTACAACGAGGATTGTAAAATTTATGCTTTTAAAAACTGGGACAATGATTTTTTAATGATCGTATTTTGATTCTTCGTAATTCGAAGATGGAATTTTATCGCAAGTGGAAGAAAACCCCCTCTTTCGAGGGGAGAATTTTTCACGAAGAAACCAAGTTATCGAAGTAACGAAGAATTTACGAAAAGTGGACGAAGCGGTAAAAGTTCTGGAAATATTTTCACCGACGCGGATTTCACGTTGCTTCTAGCTTCTTTACTTTTCTTTCAACGACATCGATTCGTGTCGGAACACTTTGCTTCGAAAATTCGTCTGGGACGTCTCATTGTCAGATAAATATCCAAAATCGCTTGAAATGCGATCTCGTTAAGTTACTCGTTATTTCTAAATTCTTGTGAATCAACTATATCATATATTTGTCAACGACTATTGCTGTAACCCGTTCCTTTATTTAGAAATCTTTCCCACGTTGCTATATCGCGCAACTTTAGTTTACATATCCAATTCATACGTGTGTATGTTGATCACAGGAGGTGACATTTACCCCGCTTTTATTTTAGTTTACAAGATTCTCTCTCTCTCTCTCTCTCTCTCTCTCTCTCTTCCTCTTTCATAAAATTATGGATCAAATCGTGGATCATTAATAATGTCTGATTCATCGAATAGATAATATTTATGGCATATTTCCAAATTAAATATAAATGAGCTTTTAAAACTTTTCTTTTTTATTCATTATAAATACGGATCATGATTCTTTCTCTCTCGTTCACATTTACTCCGTAAGAGAAAGAAGGAAAGGGAAGAGATACGTACTCTTCCCCTATCACGTATATATGAATAGCGCGACATTTTAAAATTGCATCGTCACTTTTATTAAAATTCTACTATTCATTGGTCAGTTCGTCAGTTTATTGGTGTTCGTTTTCTCAAAATCATTATATACAAACAGAAGAGAACTCGTTCATTATCTGTCGGTAAAATTAGAAGCGCGTTTTCTGGAATATAAATAAACCATTCCGTAATACTTGAACGACTTTTTTCTCTCATTGTCTAAATTTACTATCATGGCCAATGAGAAAAAAAGACAAGATTCTGAATTTTTAATTTTTTACTACTACTTACTTGCAACAAGGTTATTCCGCATAAATTTGATATTTCCATCAATATTTTAGAAAATGCAATACATTTTAATTTCCAATGCTTCATTGACACGCCAGTGCCACTTTTTTCTGAAATCACTAAATATAAATTAACGTTGCTGTCCGTACGTGTGCAAATATTTTCCTCCACTTTTATCAACACGAATGCTACTACAATAATATTACACATGCTATTAATATATATGAATTAGCGGTATAATAACGATATAATAATGAGTGTAATGATTAAAACGATCAAAAGAAAGACTTGGCATCGTCTTACGTCGTGCGAAATTTAAATAGTTTACTTGAAACTTCAAATCTATGATATATGAAAATTAAATACACGGTTCGTGCAAGTTCGTGCAGTTTGAAATATTATTGCTAGAATTAATTGATAGTAGTCTTTCTATCTATGTTGCATCGTCTTAAACAGAGTGTGACAATCAGACGAGTCGAGGATAACGAATTTCTTAAATAAGAAAATTCTTTCATAACGTTTGACACTTACAAATGTCAACTTTTAAATTGCATATTAACATTTTAGAAGGAAATGTTATCGCGTCGCCGTATTCTAGGACAATTTTAATAAAAGATAAAGTCGGAGTTTCCTATTTGGAGGCCATCGGTCAGGAACACGGTAAACACCACACGTTTACCGTCTTTTACACATAAGAGAGTAATTATCCTTACGTTTCAGCAGTCAATCAATATACGTTATCGTCAGCCTCTTCAACGCTTACGTATTTGAACATTGAAGTATTAGTCGGATCGAGCAAAAAGTGTTAGAATTACGGGGGCCGATGTTAATTAAGCCAAGCTAACATAACAGTTAAATTGACATTACTCGCAGCTTACAAAACGTTATACATTGCCTTCTTCAAGCGTTTCGTATTAAGATGCTTCCTCTTTGCCACCAAGTGACATAAAATAAGTCGGAAAATCAACAAATACGTTATATCTTGGTTTTATTGTCATCTTCGTTTGGAATTTCGTATCTATATGACATTCTATTAAACGAGTGTCCACGTATCTTACAACGATGATGTACACGGGATACTATTTGTCCATTAAAATAACTTTCGCGTTGAAGTTTTTCATTCAGGAAAAATGGACGCGTTCAAAACTCTAAGGTTAAAAATCTACAGACGCGTTAAAAGAAACAAGTTTCTTTAATTTCTGACATTATCGATGAAAAATATACAAGAATTTATTAGAAAATGTTTTACCGCTGCCGAAATGCAAACAAAAAATAGATTTTAATGCGACTCGGGAGAGGTCGTTCCAGTTTTACTACGTTTACGAGAGAAACATAAACATTTCGTAGCACTTTGTAGCATTTCGTAGCATTTCGTAGCATTTCGTGGCATTTCGTGGCATTTCGTGGCATTTCGTGGCATTTCGTGGCATTTCGTGGCATTTCGTGGCATTTCGTGGCATTTCGTGGCATTTCGTGGCATTTCGTGGCATTTCGTGGCATTTCGTGGCATTTCGTGGCATTTCGTGGCATTTCGTGGCATTTCGTGGCATTTCGTGGCATTTCGTGGCATTTCGTGGCATTTCGTGGCATTTCGTGGCATTTCGTGGCATTTCGTGGCATTTCGTGGCATTTCGTGGCATTTCGTGGCATTTCGTGGCATTTCGTGGCATTTCGTGGCATTTCGTGGCATTTCGTGGCATTTCGTGGCATTTCGTGGCATTTCGTGGCATTTCGTGGCATTTCGTGGCATTTCGTGGCATTTCGTGGCATTTCGTGGCATTTCGTGGCATTTCGTGGCATTTCGTGGCATTTCGTGGCATTTCGTGGCATTTCGTGGCATTTCGTGGCATTTCGTGGCATTTCGTGGCATTTCGTGGCATTTCGTGGCATTTCGTGGCATTTCGTGGCATTTCGTGGCATTTCGTGGCATTTCGTGGCATTTCGTGGCATTTCGTGGCATTTCGTGGCATTTCGTGGCATTTCGTGGCATTTCGTGGCATTTCGTGGCATTTCGTGGCATTTCGTGGCATTTCGTGGCATTTCGTGGCATTTCGTGGCATTTCGTGGCATTTCGTGGCATTTCGTGGCATTTCGTGGCATTTCGTGGCATTTCGTGGCATTTCGTGGCATTTCGTAGCATTTCGTAGCATTTCGTAGCATTTCGTAGCATTTCGTAGCATTTGATAGGATTTCGTGCGTTTCATTCGAGAGACGAGTTCATTTCACGCGTTACGCGAAAGACAAGACGTATGCAAACGCGGAAGTTGTGACGCGCTATATCCGGGAATCCAGGCAGACAGAAAGTCCAATAAACGTTATAACGTTATAAGGAAGGACAGAGGACAACCGAATGTAATATTCCGTGGCGTCAAAAGGACGTGTCTCGTATCTTTTATCTATGTAAGATTGCAAACTCCCCGTCACACGGGTTTCATACAAACAATGACTGTTACTGCTACTGTTTCACCGAGAAACGAAGGAATTTATTTAAATGTACCCTTTATAATTTTCTATTCAGCGCGAAGATGAATATTTTCAGATAAACCCACGTTATGTAACATAATATTACGACGTGAACAGGAATATAATGTCTTATTACTAAAATAGTATGTACCGAGAATATTTTATTTTCCACAAAGAGAATGTAAACAGACTCGAGGTTTTTCCCTGAAACGCTTAAACACCCGATTGTCAAAGCGAGTCCGCCTTTCTTACTTGCAGTTTTCGTTGCAATAAATAGTAAGTAATCGCGTTACAAGAGTTTCTTTCATCGCGTCAACATTCGTTGATTGTAAACGCAATAAAGAAAGAAAAATATTATTATTGACAGAAGAATTTATGAATTTATGAAACAAGTAGAAATGTTCTTTTTATGCAGCATACACAGACACAGTCAAGAAATACTTGTTACGTATAAAAAATGAAATTTCATCAAAAATGGGTATACAATGTTTGTGCGAATAGCCATCGATAAACGCGTACACTATGCACGTTTCGTCCCCAACACAAGATACTGTATTCACATGCCAACGAGCGTCTTTCTTCCATACGAGTTACACGAGCTCGGTTTCCCAGTTTTAAACATACATCATGCTTCACGATTACGCAAACCGTTCTTTATTTTTCCGCAAGTTCGTCGTTTGATCGTGAGCAAGGACGTGTGCATACGATTGCGAAAGTACGTAATTCATTGACAGAACGACAAGGACTGGCACGCGTACGTAAGAGGCTTTATCGAGAAAATAGATCCGTGTCGGTCGATGGTTAACCTCTTTATTGGTGAACCGACTGGCGTTCGTTCCGCGAGTGCGTTTCATTACGAACGCTCGCACCGGAATCGCCTTGGAAATCGTTGCTGTAATTCGAGCCTTCCGGATACAAGTCGTGTTATTAGAAATTATAGCCCGACATCATATATACATATATACATATATACATATATACATATATACACAGTTCGGCGACATTGCTAGCCAATTTCTTCAGAATGTAAATAATATACCGCTATCGAAACGCGTTTCACGATCGCTAGATGATACGTATCTGTACAAGGTAATTCACGTTATTGCTAGACAACGTGTACAAACCTTTTCTCATAAATATGTATCCGATAAGTATTAGAAAATGACTTTTTCTCCTTTCGATCGATTCATACTACGTTGTAATCATCCATTACACCTTCCTGAATATTTTTCATTGCACGATACAATTGTTCTTTGTTTAATTTACTTATATCGTATAGATACCAAGGCAGTTGCTTAGAATAATTAATCGAACAAACGTTAGTCAGGCTCCGATAAATCTTCTAATAAGAAAAGAGAAGAAAGAAACAAAGTGCGTGGATACACTTGCGAAAAGAATTGTGTCACGCAACGATAAATCTTTTTCAAATATTTGTGGTTTAGCATGCTATCGTAAACGCTGCGTAGACCCTACGTAGACGCTACGTAAACGCTGTGTAAACACGTAGCACATAGGTAGTAGGTATGTATGTATGTAGAAATTTTTTCTTGCAGTTGTTCTATGCAATTGACGCTTTGCTCGTTGTTCTATGATTTCGGAATCGCTCTGTACACGTAC